AAACTGCCTCGTGCCCCTTACATTTATTTTAAAAAATTAAGAATTTGTCAGCAAATCAATCAGACCTTCAGCTTCTTTTCCCTTTGATAATCTAGACGTAGAAATTCATCAGAAGCCCAGAACTCTACATTATTTTTCCCACTGCCAGCATTTTAAAATTTGTCATAAATCTGTCCTGAATTTCTTGCTCTGGTGAAAAAGCTGCAAAACAAAAGCCAGTTTTGTTCTGTTTTGTTTGTTTGTTTGTTTTCCATCGTCAGTAGCAGCCTGAACTAATATGTAAAACTTGAAATGGGCTTGAGTCATTCTAGGGTAGAGAGGAAGATATTCAGAGGAAATTTAATTCTCTTTACATCTCTAGAGGGCAGTGGTTGGCCTCCTCCCTTCCTCCAGATCCTGAAGCTGTAATGTAGCCACAGAATGGAATGATGTCAGGGGGTGCAAATAAAACCTCACAGCAAGCCTGCAGCTTAGTTTATGCGACAGGGGAAATGCAACACTAAATCTTTGTTTAGAATAAAGTTATTAAAAACCGGAGAAAATCTAGGCAGTGCCCAGGGAGACGGTGCCCACTTGCATCTTGATGGTGATCAGTGGTTTATAAGGAGAGTCTTGGGGTAGACACATGGTGAGAATGTTCATATTCTTCCCTCCATCTGATCCTACCTAAAGAGTCAAACAACACCCAGAATTATGGTGCCATTACAGAAGCATTTTTATGTTACTTTTCCCAATTTTCCATTAGCTAATGTGGTTTGAGCCAGGCACTGAGCTAATATTTGCCTGCACCTTTTCATTTATTCTTCACAGCAATCTTATGAAATATACCAATCTTTGGATGGAGAAAGTGAAGAGCTGAAGTGCCTTGCCTAGTCTGTCTCCAGAGCCTGCTCCATAGGTGACTTGCTATGTCCTAACTAGGCCATATTGGTCTCTCTCTAGTTCCTGTGCCCCCTGGCCAGGGAGGAGCTATCAGAGTCGGCATATCCTGGTACCCTTCTGGGTGTCAATTTTCAAAATAAAATTTATCCAGAATAATCGCGTCCTATCATATTGAAGAGCAGGTGTCTTTCTTCAGATCGGTGGAGCTTGCAATAGTTGTTTTTGTTTGCTTGATTTTCGTCTTCAACAGCAGCCTGAACGTGCTGTGACTACTTCATTTAATATCATTCTACACATCAGGAGAAAGTCAGCAGGGAGTGTGGGAGGGGCAGCTGCTTTGATCCACAGCCACTGCCTTTGGCTTTTATTTGCCCCAGCCTCAGTAGAGAGGGCAAACGTCCACATGAAGATTAGCAGACAAATACTCCTGAGAAACAAGGTGGATAGGGAAATAGCATGGTTTTCTTTCTTTCTCTTTCTTTCTTTCCTTTCTGACAGGATCTTGCTCTATTGTCCAGGCTAGAGTGCAGTAGGGCAATCACTGTTCACTGCAGCCTTGAACTCCTGAGCTCAAGAGATCCTCCCACCTTGGTCTCCCAAGTGGCTGGGATTACAGTTTTGTGCCTCCACACCAAGCTCTTTTTTTTTTTTTTTTTTTTAGAGATAGGGTCTCGCTCTGTTGCCCAGACTGCTTTTGAACAAACAATCCTCCCATGCCTGACTTTAAATAGCATATTCTCATCCAAGCTTTGCACAGTTTTCCAAGCATTAATGTTTGCCATGTGCGAGCAAACGACCTGAAAACATCACGAGTCTGATGTGGAGACACCAAAGGAAATCAAAGAGATCTGAACATAGAAAAAGTGAATTATGGCCACTGAATTTGCCTTTTGGACTCAAAAGTCAAATGATTCCCTTGATATCTACTTTCATGGGGGCCTATCTCTGGCTCTACTAGGCTTGAATAGCATTGATTTAGTTATATTTATTATTTATTTATATTCCATAAGTCTTTGAGCAACTGGTGGTATTTGATTACACAAGTTCTTTAGTGGTGATTTGTGAGATTTTGGTGCACTCATCACCCAAGCAGTGTACATTGAACCCAATTTGTAACCTTTTGTCCCTTACCCCCTTCCCTTCCCCCATTTCTCCCTAGTCCCCAAAATCTGTTGTATCATTCTTATGCCTTTGCATCCTCATAGTTTGGCTGCCACTTATGAGTGAGAACATATGATATTTGGTTTTCCACTCCTGAGTTGCTTCCATTAGAATAATAGGCCCCAATCCCATCCAGGTTGCTGCGAATGCCATTAGTTCATTCCTTTTTATGGCTGAGTAGTATTCCAACATATGCATATATACCACAGTTTCTTTATCCACTTGTTGATTGATGGGCATTTGGGTTGGCTCCACATTTTTGCAGTTGCAAACAGTGCTGCTATAAACATGCATGTGCAAGAATCTTTTTCGTATAATGATTTCTTTTCCTCTGGGTAGACACCAGTAGAGGGATTGCTGAATCCAATGGTAGTTCTACTTTAGTGCTTTAAGGAATCTCCACAGTTTTCCATAGTAGTTGTACTGGTTTACATTCCCACCAGCAGTGTAGAAGGGTTCCCTGTTCACCACATCCACACCAACATCTATTATTTTTTGATTTTTTGATTATGGCCATTCTTGCAGGAGTAAGGTAGTATCACATTGTGGTTTTGGTATGCATTTCCCTGATCATTAGTGATGTTGAGCATTCCTTCATATGTTTGTTGGCCATTTGCATACCTTCTTTTGAGAAATGTCTATCCATGTCCTTAGCCTACTTTTTTATGGGGTTGTTTTCTTCTTGCTAATTTGAGTTCATTGTAGATTCTTGATATTAGTCCATTGTCAGATGTATAGATTGTGAAGATTTTCCCCCACTCTGTGAGTTGTCTGTTTATTCTTCTGACTGTTCCTTTTGCCGTGCAAAGGCTCTTTAGTTTAATTAACTCCCAGCTATTTATTTTTGTTTTTATTGCATTTGCTTTTGGGTTCTTGGTCATGAAATCTTTGCCTAAGCCAATGTCTAGAAGGGGTTTTCCAATGTTATGTTCTAGAATCTTTATGGTTTCAGGTCTTAGATTTAAGTCCTTGATCCACCTTGAGTTGATTTTTGTACAAGGTGAGAGATGAGGATCCAGTTTCATTTTCCTACAGAGTCTTGCCAATTATCCCAGCACCATTTGTTGAATAGGGTGTCCTTTCCCCGCTTTATGTTTTTGTTTGCTTTGTCAAAGATCAGTTGGCTGTAAGTATTTGGGCTTATTTCTGGGTTCTCTATTCTGTTCCATTGGTCTATGCACCTATTTTTATAACAGTAACATGCTGTTTTGGTGACTATGGCCTTATAGTATAGTTTGAAATCAGGTAATGTGATGTCTCCAGATTTGTTCTTTTTGCTTAGTCTTGCTTTGGCTATGCGGGCTGTTTTTGGTTCCATATGAATTTTATAATTGTTTTTCCTAGTTCTGTGAAGAAGGATGGTGGTATTTTGATGGGAATTGCATTGAATCTGTAGATTACTTTTGGCAGTATGGTCATTTTCACGATATTGATTCTATCCATCCATGAGCATGGGATATGTTTCCATTTGTTTGTGTCATCTATTCTTTTGGCAGTGTTTTGTAGAGGTCTTTCACCTCCTTGGTTAGCCTCTGTGCCTTTGCACATGCCTGATACGTCCTACCGGCTCTATCTCCTTTCACTTAACCACAAATAGTCCTTAATGTGTCTGTACATTTCATTCTAGGAGTCTATATTAAAGGCGCACAAAGGTATATGAGGATGCTCATTGTTTTATTTTTTGCATTAGGGAAAGTATAGGAATGAAGTCCATCAGTGGGTTAAACAACTTGTGTCCATCTATCCTGTGGTTACCGGGGAGCTGGAAAAGGATGACAGATCTGTACCGAGGAACATGGAAAGATCTCCAGGGCATGTTGTACCGGGGAGTCCTCAGAGCAAAGAGAGACAGGTTCATACATGGTAGATGACCTCTCCTATCATCCTCAATAAAGAGTCTTGGCAAGGGGCTTAAGGAAGGAGTAAAAAGGGAGTTTACTATCAATGGACCCCAGGACTTGAGAGAGCCAAGGTTTTCCTAATAACCCCTCACTGGGTGTTCAAGTCATAGAAAGCAAGTATTTTTGTGTGCTGTTCCTTAATGACCAAAATTTCACAATGTATAGTTTCATTGACTAAATTAAAAATCATCTGTAATTTTTGCAAAGCGATACTGGACTCAACTGAAGCCAGTATAGCTGTGTTCCTGAGTGTATTTGATTAGGGGTCAGAAAATCTGCACTCAATTCTTAATTTACCACTGACTAAATCTCTAACTTGGGGCTAATATTTTTTATTTGTGTGAGCTTTACTTTCCTCATCCATCCTTGAGAGAGGTGGACAAAATGATCTCTGTGGTCTTTTAAGATTCTATTGGTCTATTACTCTTAAGGCTTGTGGAACGTTAATAAGAATAATAATTACTAACATACTGCTAGTGATTACCATGTGATAGACACTGTTCTTAGCTTCTTATATGTATTAACCACTTTAATTCTCATAGCAACATATGAAATAAATACTATTATCTCTATTTTATGGAAAAAGCAGCTGAGGCCCAGAAATTAAGTATGTTGTTCAAAGTCGCACAGCTAGAAAGTTGTGGAGCTATTAACAGAACCTAAATCCAGGCAGTCTGACTCCAGAATCCATGATTCCAGCCATTCTATTATGTCCAATTAAAATCGACCTCTTTCTTGCCACCTGATTTAATGATTCATACAAAACAAAATAGTGTTAAGGAAACATATCTGAAGAGCTGATATGGAAAGTATAGATGAATATAAGAAAATTATCTGCAAGAGACCTAATACAAAAAAAAAACAGCAAAATTTTACTTAAATATTTAGCATTTTTATAACATATCACCTCTATGTACCATAATGTAACTATATCTACTTACTTCAAATGCAAGAAAAGAGATGTCACAACTACCTCATTCTTATGCATTCATTTTTTTCTGAAAATAACAGCAGAAAACACATGTGGCATTGATGCTTTCAATTTTTATTTCACAGATGAAAGAACTCGGTGTCATCTTCTACAACTGCAGCTGCCTGGTCCTAGACTTACAAAGGATATTTGCTCTATATAGTTCATTAAAATTCAAAAGCAGAGTGCCTCAAACCTGGTCCAAAAGACTCTATGGAGTCTATGACAATGAAAAGAAATTGCAGCTTCAGTTGAATGAAACCAAATCTCAAGCATTTGTATCGGTGAGTTGTTTTCCCTTTCTCCTCCCCTTCTCCTTCTTCCTCCAAAGGCTCTTTGTTAAGTTGGAATGTTTAAGTGTGATCTTGTATTGGGCAAAAATGAATTACAGTGGTTCTGTCCCATAACGTGAAGAGTTAAAATGTGTCTACCCTTATGTGCAATCGTATCCTCAAACATAATAAATCTTGATAATCATTCCTTGTGTCAGATACCTTGAGTTATCTGATTTGATTCCCTCAATCACCGTGTAAGCTAGGTATGGGGTTGTGACCATTTTGCAAATGAAGGTATCGACCTTACCTACTAGCAAAAAACCCATTAGATGAGGTACGCCAAGAGAGGCGCCAGGACCCAACTCTTCTGACACCAGAGCCTATTAGCCTATTTTCAATGCCCTACATTGATTTTTCAGACTTGTTTTTAGCAGAACCGTTTGATGAGATAAATCTGAGGGAATCTCAGTGTATAGATCAGAGAAAAGCAGAGCTGCTGTACCTGGTTGGGGCAAGTGGGCAAGAGGCCCACACAACAGGACAGTGCTCCCTGAACAGCTTTGGGCCTCTGACTCTGCTAAGAACCATTAGCCACACCCTCCACCCACCCTCACCTTCCCAGCCCACCACCCAGCTGGGCACATGCCACAGCTATCCAGAGATGTTACTGGAAAGGGGCAACGTAAATATCTGGGCCTACAGTCCTAGTCCTCAAACTGTAGTACAGTAGATCCTTCAATAACATTGTTTTGTTCAATGCCCATTCATTATCATGTTGATAAGAAAAAAAAACAATTAATTTCTGGCTGGGGCCACTGTGTGTGGAGTCTGCGCATTCTCCACCTGTCTGTGTTGGTTTGTGCCGGGTACTCCTGTTTCCTCCCACATCTCAAAGCTGTGCAAGTGAAACGAACTGGCAGATCTGTGTGTGGTCCCAGTGTGAGTGAGTGTGAGTGCCCTGCGATGGGATGTCATCCTGTCCATGGGGCTCCCGGCTGTGAGGGGCTCCGGCCACCTATGACCCTGAACTGGAGTAAGAGGGTAAATAATTATTTCACTTGTTTTTATTAGTCTTTCTTAAATGTATGTATAGCTCACATTTGTTTCAATGTTTAATATTCAAAGTGTTTTGGTCTTTAGAATTTTGATGCTGTTTTTGTGACAAGAAATAAGCCATAGCAACTTAACTCTCATTTATATCAATTAGCCTATGATAAAATTGTTTTCATCATACATCAGTTCACTTAAAGTCTTAGTATTCAAGAACCTGTTGATGTCATTAAGTGAGGACTTACTGCACTTAAAAATCGGCTAGGGGCTGGGCATGGTGGCTCACGCCTGTAATCCCAGCACTTTCGGAGGCCGAGGCGGGCAGATTACAAGGTCAGGAGATCGAGACCATCCTGGCAAACATGGTGAAACCCCGACTCTACTAAAAATACAAAAAAGAATTAGCCGGACATGGTGGCAGGCACCTGTAGTCCCAGCTACTCGGGAGGCTGAGGCAGGAGAATGACCTGAACCTGGGAGGCAGAACTTGCAGTGAGCCAAGATCGTACCACTGCACTCCAGCCTGGGAGACAGAGGGAGACTCGGTCTCAAAAAAAAAAAAAAAAAATTGGCTAGGAAGCCTGTTTACAGTACAGATTTACAGTGTCCCCTGTCCCCACCCAGGATCTTATCCACTGGATCTGAGATGAGATCTTAGAATTTTTATTTGAAGCAAGCTTCTGAAATTCTGATGTTCAGATCAACTTCTCTAAGTAATGCTCCCAATTTAATATTGCTATTTCGACCTTGGTTGATATCAGTGCTTTTAGGCCAACAACTTTTATGTCACTAAACAGCATTTTATTGAAGATAAATTAAAGTGAATTTTATCCTTTTTGCCTGTTCAAATGAAGGCCCCAGCAGAAAATTTAGAAGTGAAACAATAGAAAGAAAAGACAAAGTTCAAGTTGTCTTAAATAACAAATTCGCATAAATGTGAAGAGCAGAAAATAGACTATGAAGGATGTTGATCGGCTAGAGCTAAAATAACTTTTTTGTATGGAGGAGGTCAAGAATGGAGTAGCAAGTGGCATAGTATAGGGCATTTTACTAACAAAATATAAATTATATAGACATTTTCAATTCATCTCAAGATGACCCTGTAAGACCAGGAGGCCAAGGAGAATTCCCAATGTGCAATAGAAAATTTGCCAAGGAACCTTTAATCCAGAGGGTCGCAGAGTGACATTACATGCCAAGCATGGATCACTTGATCAGGTCCAGTAGAAAAACAAATTGGAAATGGCAAAAAACAGATGAATTAATGAACAAATTTTGAATAATCACTGGATTTTGAATTTACAGTTTCAACCTTAGAGATAAGTGAATATGGTTGTTGCATACATTTACAGACTAACCCCTAAACAGGGAGAGTCAGTTTTTGTTGATTCTAAAGTTAACATATTTCCCAGAGAGAGTGGTCTCAGGCCTTTAGTAAAATCTACTACAATTCGATACCTTTGTTATTTTCTAGGGCAAATTCATAAGTGGCTTTTTCTTAAAGAGTTCACCACAAAATGAGTTGTGAGACATTTCTTTGGGTAGTTTTTTAAACTATATAATAGTTTTTCTTTTATTATTATACTTTAAGTTCTAGGGTACATGTGCACAACGTGCAGGTTTGTTATATATGTATACATGTGCCATGCTGGTGTGCTGCACCTGTTAACTCATCATTTACATTAGGTATATCTCCTAATGCTATCCCTCCCCCATCTCCCCACCCCATGACAGGCCCTGGTGTGTGGGTGTGTGATGTTCCCCTTCCTGGTCCAAGTGATCTCATTGTTCAATTCCCACCTATGAGTGAGAACATGCGGTGTTTGATTTTCTGTCCTTGCGATAGTTTGCTCTGAATGATGGTTTCCAGCTTCATCCAAGTCCCTACAAAGGACATGAACTCCTCCTTTTTCATGGCTGCATAGTATTCCGTGGTGTATATTTGCCACATTTTCTTAATCCAGTCTATCATTGATGGGCATTTGAGTTGGTTCCAAGTCTTTGCTGTTGTGAATAGTGCCGCAATAAACATACGTGTGCATGTGTCTTTATAGCAGCATGATTTATAACCCTTCGGGTATATCCCCAGTAATGGGGTGGCTGGGTCAAATGGTATTTCTAGTTTACTTTCTATTTTTAATTTCCTTTTTATTTTCTATTTTTTAATAATATCAAGCCTGCCTTTGCGTTTCAGTTCAACAGATATTGACTGAACACCATTTCTGGAGAGGTATAAGATCTTACAGGTATAAAAACAGTCAAAAAAACCCTGCAATTGGAATTGGTATCATTCAGACAGAGTTCCTGGAACTCCCTTCTATTATAACATTTATCACATTTTTAGAACTGTTGATTTATAATCATCTTTTCCACCATTTTATTAGACTCTGAAGATCATCTCCTATTAATATATTCTCTTCATCACTGGCATTCCCAGCACTTCACTTGGTGCTGGCTAAAAGCAGCAATAAATGTTGGGTAGGTTTTATTAGTAGTAATGTTAATAGAAAGCTCCAGAATGCATACAGTTTTCTCAGTAATCTATGCCAGACAAATGCCAAGACAAATTTAATTCAATATATTTGTTGTATCATAAAACAGTATATTTTTATATGCTGATTGTCTCAAGACTAAGTTGAACACATACTTAAACAGTATTTGAAGACCTTTGTAACCATTCTCAAAGTTAGATTTTAGATAATTGATAACTTAGCATAGTTAGATATAAATTTTGACTTATGATACAAATATAGATTATTTCCAATTTTTTCCCAGAACACAAATAGGCACTTAGATTTAACTGTGTGATTTCTAGTAACTTGAGCCAGATAATTCTAATTTTCTTGCATTTCCCATTGAAATTGGAGGATGGGAATAATAGTTGGCTGTTTCTGTCTTGTAGATTTCTTTTTGGAGTCTTTAAGCTTAAGCAATTGCTTTCCAAGATAAAAGACTAGTTCCAGGTCTGTTTTTAATGATCTAGATGTTAGACAGATTTCACTTCTTGTTTACTGTTAATTCACCTATCAGTCATGTGTACTGAGATATATTTAGTGAGTGAGGGCTGACATTAAATAGAACTTGATGCTGTTATGGAAAAATACCACCTCACATTCCTCTTTAGAACCTTCTGTGTATATTGTTAATTGGTTTAACAGCATTACAGAGATGTAACTTACACACCATAAAATTTACCCTTTTAAAGTATACAATTCAGGCCAGGCATGGTGGCTCACACCTGTAATCCCTGCACTTTGAGAGGCCGAGGCTGGCTGATCACTTGAGCTGCTGACCTCAAGACCAACCTTGCCAACATGGTGAAACCCCATCTCTACTAAACATACAAAAAATAAAAAAATAAAAGTAATAAAAATTTAAAAATAAAATAATGAAGTATACAATTTAGTGGAGTTGAGTATAGTCACAGTTTTGCAACCATTTCTACAATCTAATTTTAGAACTTTTTTTCATCACAAAGAAAAAACCCCATACTGATTAGCGGTCACTATTTTCCCTTCTGTCAGTCCCTGGCACCCACCAATCTACTTTTTCTTTATGGATCTGCCTTCTTCTGGATGTTTTATATAAATAGAATCATACACTGTGTAATTTTTTTGTGATTGCTTCTTTCACCTAACATAATGCTTTCAAGGTTTATCCATATTGTAGCATGGAGCAGTACTGCCTTTATTCCTTTTTATGGCTAAATAATTCTATTGTATGGATGTGCCACACTTTGTTTACCCATCTATCAACTGATGGGCATTTGTATTACTACTATTTCTTGGCTTTTGTAAATAGTGCTGCTATAAATATTCATGTACAGGTTTTTATGTGAATAGCTGTTTGTAATTCGAGTTTGTACATAGGAGTGGATTTACTGGATAATGTGGTAATTCTATGTTGAACATTTTGAGAAGCTACCAAACTGTTTGCCAAATTGGTGGCACCATTTTATA